TGCACAGCGCAAGGTTTTCCATCAAGGCGCGACAAGTTCCCACGGGACACAACTCCTGTTGGGCTATCATGGCTGATTCCATTTGGACCGAGGAAGATCGTCAGCAGTTGACCAAGCTGATAGAAAAGGCCGAGCGTCATGGCCAGTCTCTGGCTGTGTTTAGTGGGCCTCCAGCTTCTTCTTTTTCTGATGCCAGCGATTTCTCCATGGTGACTGATTTGGGCGGCATGGGTGATGCCGCGAAGCGTCGTGCACCTGACAGTGCCGACTCCGAGGCTCCTCCTGGCGCCGTGCCCAGGAGCTCTGCCAAGGTCCTTGGAGCCTACTTGGTCCCAGGGATGCCTGCACCACCTTTTGCCTATGAGACAGCCTCGTTGCCCACCGTTGCCATACCAGCATTTCCCCCAGGTGTCAATGACCTTCATGACTGGGGAAAATCAATCTTCTTGTTTGGCAAGCACAAGGGTCGCAGAGTATCCTATGCTGAGGTGTTGTTCTCCACAAAGCAAGACGATGTGGGGTACGTGAAATGGTCCCGTGCTCATGCATCGAAGGCCGAAGGATTCCTCAAGGATTGGTGCGTGTATCTGCACCGCCGTTCCTTGGAAAGCCAGGATTTGCTGGCTGGACCGATGATTCCTGAGACCAGCACCGTGCGCAAGTTCAAGAAGCGAAGATTGAATGAACCAGATGCTCCACTGCCAGATTTCTTCTACATATAAAAGATTATAAGCAGTGTCAATTGCATGGCCATGAACTCCAGTGGCATGTCAGGTGAATCTCAAACTCCACCCCTGTCATTCAGGGAGCGTTTTCGGCTGAGGACGAAAAGGGTTCGGACCCTGCTGTCGGGTGGTAGGATTCACCCGCTGTTTTGTAATATATATATATTATATGGAACTACATTAAAATAATTTAAAATATATGGAATTCATCGAATAACAAACTTGTGTGCAACTCATGCAGAAAAAGGAGACCTGAAGCCTGGTTCCCAGGCACATTCTACAGCACAGAATCATTCTATGTGGCATACCGCAACATACACATAGTTTTGAAATATGTTCAGATCCTTTCAGCAAATATCAAAGCACATCCCGCAACACTCCTGCCTTAAAGGACGGGGGCTCAGTTCAACGAGTTTCAACAAGTGCTCTCAAATCACTGATGCAACAGAAATGTGATTGACATCGTTTCATATGTTCGAGTCTGTTCGATATTGCAGCCGTATATGATCTGGGAATCCTGCTCATTGGCCTTTGATCCGAGAAGAAAGGAGATGTCAAAAGCCATGGAAATTGTTCCGATGATATCCATTAGTTGGAAAAAGCTGAGCAAGTATTGCCTCAGTGCGCAGCGTGCCGAGAGTGCAATAAACCAACGAGAAAAAAAGTACAAACGTGACAGGCACTTTGATTCGATAGGCATTTGACTAATTCCACTTGCGAAACCGTGTATCCATGTCATCCGATTGATAGCAAGCCAACCCGGTGCAGACACAACAAAAACAATGCAGTTTTTAATGCATCGTTGACACGAAAAAATGCAGTGCAAAAAAAAGTATCACGTTTTGCATTTTTGAACTTTGAAAGAAAATGCAATTTGAATCTGCAGCGAAGGTGCGCATCTGTCATTGACAATGCGACAAGTTCCACTGTGAAGAGCACCATGCTGATGGACATGATCAAATCAGTCCAAACCTGAGATGGCCGTGACATGGTGATAGCACGCAAGCCGACAATGCAAGTCTGCAATACATTCATAGACTGGCAATGACTGGCAAATCAAAAGATTCCACTTCTTCGACCATTGGTCTTGAATGGTCTTGAATGGTCTTGACCCTTCCTTGAGCAATCCTTTCCTCATATCACAAAGCCTTTCTCCAGATGGCCCCAGGATGCCCTAGGATGCAGGGCTCTGAGGATCCAACACTGGTTGAAAAATCCATGAGCTTTGCCATATCAGGCAAAATTAAGGCACTTAGCAGCGCAATTTGCATGATCCTCAGCACGCAAATTACACCGCAATGGATGGCTGGAAAAGGACAACATTGCACTATAATATATGATAATATATGATAATCATCCAACGGCCAGTGATACGAACCACTGAAACACTGAACGTCTCCGTGCATTAGTTGTTGTATACAATGAACTCGCCACACTCAGCAAATGTCAGCAGGCAGTTTGGCTTTATCCATTCTATGGGATGTGTTGCCGTCTATTCCTGCTGCAACTCCGCAGTGAAATGTCAAACATGTCAAATATGCTTCAGTTTTCTTCATGAAACGTTCAAAACGCCTCACACTTCTCAACCCACATCGCTGCAGCGGCCAAGTGTCACTATGCAGCCTCTGCTCTGCATGACCAAACGTATTCTCCAGGCGCATGCGCTGTTGTAGAAATCGCTGGCCTGCATACAGTGAGATCCATGTGATTTGAAAATTGTAATTCCATCTAGATGAGAGTACGGAAATGTACCGAAAGTGTAATGCAAAATGCGATTCTATGTATATACTGTACGAGTATATACTGATAGACATGAATGCGTACACGTATATCCATGCACAATGCACAAGCACAATGTATCGCGATGTGAAGGACTGCTCATCTGCAATCCACCGATGGAAGAATGTGATTTCGCCTCACAGATTGGGCATATTCAAAGTAATTTTATGTAATTTTGCAAATCTAGTGTGCGTTCCGAAGTTCCGAATGCATTTTCATGTCTCTCTGGAAGCTTCATGAAGCTTCAATGTTGCGCACAATCCTGGAGAGCCGTCCGCAGACGTTGACACCAATTGCAAAGCATGGCCTCGCTGCATTTCACCGAGCATGCAGCATATACATATCTAAGATATTCTAAGATTACATACATAATTTGAAAGGTGTACAGTAACTCCACAAGTCTCCACAAGTTCAGTCGAGTTCAACAAGATCAATGGACCTCAATTGAGGCCTCAAGGCTGTCTTTTGAGGATCAAAAGTATTTGGTCAGCACTGATCTGACAAAAAAAGACAAACTAAGATTTGCATAGATTTGTGAAAGCTTGCAATAGCTTGCAGAGACCCAAAACTTCGATGTTGCTGACATGTTGCCCATCGCCCAGTTTCATCTGCCGTCCCATGGGCGAGTTGTGGAGACTTTGCCTTACCGCATGAATTCAAGTCAAGTGCAAAGAAATCTGTGGAAACAATAGAAGATACTAGTAATTGAAGATTGTACAGCAGGTGTTTCAGTGTCAAGGGCCAAAGGGAAAGTGTTCGTGGATTTTGAGGGAGCTGAAGTATTGCTCTTTTTGCTCTCTTTCCTCTCTTCGGCCGTACACGGCCGTACACGGCCGTACACGGCCGTACACAGCCGTACACAGCCGTACACAGCCCGTACACAGCCCGTACACAGCCGTACGGCCATTCTAAGGCAGCCACTCCGGCTCGGCCCGCAGAGAAGTCATCCGACCTGTCGACGCTCCTGAGCACAAGAAGCACAAGAAGCACAAGAAGTACAGGAAGCACAAGAAGCACAAGGCGACACTCTCAAATTCTCAGACTCTTCAGTGATTCTTGTGAAGAAGCTTCAGTGACTCTTCAGCATGAAAAGGTCTTCTGAACAATTTGAAATCAGACTAAAATCCTGGGGGCTGCGTGCCTTCTCGAACTTTTCTCCCTGAGTCAAAAGGCAAAGAAATCAGCCAACGGATTCTGATGGCTTGTATGGCTTGGTTCTTGGGTCTTTCGAATTCTTTAGAGCCATCGCAGTGCTTTGTGTGTTTTAGGGATTCGAGCCCAGCTTGGTGGATGAGTCTTCGTTTGGTTCTAAGGCTACCGCAGGTCAGAGTCCATGCTGCGCCATGCTTGTTCAATGGATGTTTAGGTCGAAACTCTTTAACAAAATTGAAAGGCATGGAGACTATGGGCATTTCATGCGCTATGCAGATACACATCCTCTTCACTCCAAACATGCTGTCTTCAAGAAGTTGTGATGACTATCAAAAACAATATTTCAAGTGTGAATGGGTTCAGAGTAGTGATGCGATTGTAACCTGGCACATCTGTCGTCTAGTCTTCAGGGTCAGGTAGGCCTGTAGGACCCAAAGGAAGATTGCTTGATATGCTCTGCGACAGTAAAGTCAAGGCTGGCATGCAAACAACCCACTCGGGGGAATCTCTGGGCCGTCCCCAGCAAAAGTCAGTCCGAAAGGAAAGGATTCGAAAAAAAAACATCTGCAGACATCTGTACACTGGCAAATTTTGGCGCATGGTACCACTTTTCTGACCGTCCTGGTTGAAAGGAGGCATGGAAAAGGTGGTGAAACAGGGCCGGTATTGGAAGGCAACGTCAGAGATTCCTGATACTGATAGTCCTAGTCATGTCCTAGTCTAGTCATGACGCACACACACACATGCACACACACACAGATGATGCACATGGTTTTTGAATGTTTTGAAACTATTTCCAAACCGGGCCCATGATGCAAATGTATGACCGGACCAAAATTCCAGCTATCAGAAAGGATAATCTTGCAGCCTGGAAGCAGCACGGTAACAAGTTCTATTTCGCACGAACTTCCTTTGAGCAGTGCAAAGTTTCGCTCAATTTCACACATCTAGTGTAAGAAGACTGTGTTCTGATGTTTGTCATGTCACGCTAAGTGCACAGCGATAGGGTATTGTTGGGTCCAGTGTATGACTAGCAAACAAGCAACACTATGAATTGAAAGCAGGTTCAAAAGAATCAAAAAGACATTGCCCTAATGATCCACACAGCATTCTGTCCCGAAGCTTCGTGACACAAACGAAGCTCACTTAGCACGTTTTTTTCATTTTCCTCTCTGCAATGACAGCAGTTCCAAACTCTGCAGTGAGCGCAGCTGGCCCTGCGAAACTACACAAACTCTGCACATGTTTGCTGTTTTTTCTGTTTTTTGATTGCTTACCACAGACAGCGTACCATCGCTTACCACCTTGTGCCAGCTGGAATTGACTTTCAGTCTCAGATCTAGCTCACGTAAAGTTTCGCTTCTCGTGTGCCAACCTCAGCGTATCTCGGCATGCCGCTTGCATGCTGCTTGCATGCTGCCTGCAGGCTGTTTGCACAGTTTGACTTCTTTCTCAGAGCCCGCCTTTTAGCCAAACTCCGGAAGATTTGCGTGGCTTCATCTGTCGGCAGCCCAACTGCCTCGGGTTGCAAAAAAAAATCTGTGAAAACTGTAAAAAGAATTAAAAAGACACCTTTTTTTCCCGAGGACTCTGCCAACCGCACACTAGCAAAGCAACGAAGAAACTCGAGATTAACATCTGCAGGGAATTTGCTGAGAACAACACATGCCACCTGATATACCCAACGGCATCTAGCCTCAATCAACTGTGTCTTTCAAGCCTTCTGTGGGTTTGCCCCTTCGTTCGGCAAAGCTTTCCAAAGCCAACTGGGGGACATGCAAAAGAACCACGGGCAAATCCTTGTTGTAAAGGTGCAAAGCATGTTCCTTGGTTCCCGCAGTGAAGAATCAAACTTTCAAGACACATCGAGACATGTCGAGTCATGTCGAGACATGTCATGACTTGGAGACTTGGCTTCCAACGTATTCCCATTTCCAGGCACCACGATAAACAAACGTTGACCAGATTTCGCTCTCATCCACCTGCCGAGATGAGCGAAATCAAGACAAGTCAAAACCTGAACTTTGATGACTTTGATGACTTTGATGACTTTGATGACTTTGATGACTTCCACGAATTCTACACTTTGCGCCTGGCGTCTCAGCTGGAATTTGGTGAGCTGATGTGTTCTGCGATTGAACCAGCCCTCTTCGCAATGAAGTTTAAAAACCTGCCCACCCAGCAGAATCAGCAGAGGGGAGCTACCCGGGGTGTCAAATCTTGAGCAAGAGGCCATCTTGCTGCTCTGTAAATTCCGATTGAAGTAGGTATAGAGGGAGCCAGAGTCTCGTTTGGCTCCAGCATACTCTGGCTCAACATAAGCATTCATAAGCATTCACAAGTCAGTATCTCCCGTTGCCGAACAAAAAATCACCGTGGACATAAAAGTACGTAACATCCTTCACTATACACGTGTTCTGACTTCTCGAGCGTTTCCGTACCTAATTATGGATTTCTTTTCTTGGGGTGTCTTCACGCATTGCTGCCGTGCTTAGTCGAACACAGCGACACATTTAGACCTCGAGCCTGTGAGTCTGTTCGACCGGACTTGTTCACAGAACTTAGAACTTCTTCAAGACATGCAAGAACCAACCAGACAAGTACGGATCAAGACGGTAAGAGTCTAACCAATTAACATTAATTATCTACAAGGTCCAAGTTTTGCTGGTTTGATTCGGTTTGATTGAAGGCATTCACCGACCAAAACACTAAAACACCAGCTCAAGTTTCCGTGGGGAGACTTCAATTTTTCAACGCATTGAGTAGTCTGTAAGGCCAAAAATGCTTTGAGTTTTTCCACGGTTCCAGCGGAACGTTGAGCTCCAACAAAAGTCGGAGAACATGTATGAATGTATCACGATTTTATGCTGATGATTGCTTGGGCCGTTGTTTTGCTCTCGGCTTCTGATTAAAATTCATTGTCTTCACAATGGAATAAAAGAGAATGAATACATTTAGTTCAAGGATGAACTCTCCCTCGTCCCATTGGTCCCCCTCCCCTCACGCAGAACATCAGGACACCAACTGCATGCTGTCGTGCTTAGGACGGTCACTATTCATTTCAGAGTGCTGCGAGCAATATCATATGACCCAAGAATGAGCCTTACATTCCCATCGAAGCGCCACCGCTAGTGATTTGCGATACAGATACAGCATGTGTAAGTACAGTATTTAGATGGATGGATGGATGGATGGATAGATCGATCGATCGATGGATGGATGGACGGATAGATAGATACACTTGTACAATTGTACAATTATACCATTATACAATTCTATAGATAGGTAGATAGATATGTATACACAATATGTACACATGCATGAAAATAGATGACCGCCGAAGAGCCATGGAGAGAACCATCAAGAGAAGCAAATTCTCTTTTAAACTTGTTCGCTGCAACCCTGACGTTGCGCCGCGTCTGACTTCAGGTGGCTACGAAGATAAAGTTGATGTTATTATCCCAATCAACATATTGTTCATAGGGGGTGGCGATTTTTGATCCCTTATGAAGATAAATTTGATGTTATTATCCCAATCCACATATTGTTCATAGGGGGTGGCAAATTTTGATCCCTTGTGAAGATAATGTTGATGTTATTACCCCAATCAACAAATATTGTTCATAGGGGGTGACTTTTTTTTGACCCCACAGAAGATAAAGTTGATGTTCTTACCCCAACCAACATAATGTTCATAGGGGGTGACAAATTTTGATCCCTCATGGAGATATAGTTGATGTTATGACCCCAAGCAACATATTGTTCAGAGGGGTGGCGAATTTTGCCCCCCATGAAGATAAAGTTGATGTTATTACCCCAGTCAACAGAATTGTTCAGAGGGGGTGGCGAATTTTAATGTGATGATCATCATGATGCGATGATGTGATGATGATGATGATGATGATGGTGATGATGATGATGATGATGATGATGACGACGATGATGGCGATGATGACGATGACGATGACGATGACGACGATGATGATGATGATGATGATGATGATGATGATGATGACGACGACGATGATGGCGATGATGACGATGACGATGACGATGGCGATGATGATGATGATGATGATGATGATGATGATGACGATGACGATGACGATCATGATGATCATGATGATCATGATGATCATGATGATCATGATGATCATGATGATCATGATGATCATATGATCATGATGATCATGATGATCAGGATGATCATGACGATCATGACGATTGTAAGTGTGGAGCAACGTCCGGGTTGGGGCGAACTTGTTTAAAGATGTCCGTGAGGTATGGTCTCGCAGAGGTTTGCATGGAGCCTGGGTGTTGGGCAATTCCTTGAAGTCCTCTCCGACAACATCAAGCCACTGCCGGAGACCAGTCCTATTCAAGTTATCGAAACCCCAGCGAGCTACAAACCAGAACAAAATGTCCGTTCTGCTGGGACAACGGCCAAAAGAAACACATGGACACATCTTCGGCTTAAGTAGCTCACCACAAGCCACTCAAAGGTTGTCCGGAGAAAATCAACAGAAGGGTTGTCCTCAGTTTAAACCATGTGACATGTTGTGACATGCTGCATGGACCGAATGAAGATGAATGAAGCCCAAAGCCGGCGTCTTGACTGCTGTACATTTGGTAGTTGCACCAAGGCCCTGTCTTGTGCTGAAGGCGAGGGAAAAGTGTAAATCCCCTGACCAATCCACCGCAATTTACTGCAATCCACTGCAATCATCCGCAATATACATAGTATACAAATCATAATCATATGTCATATACAAATCTAGCTGCAGAATCAAGCTCCAGCTCCGCCCTTGCCTCATTCTGATCCGTTGAGCAGCATCAGAAGTTTGAAAAACTGGATCCACATACCTATGGAAGACTGGTTCGGCAGCTCGGTCACCCAATGACAGGGAACCTATGGAAACCTGGTACTCTAGCACTGACAGAAAGGAAAGAGATGGAAAGAGATGGAAAGAGCAAGACCAGCACTGCTTTCGGAGACACGAAGCATTGCGTCCGGAAACCAGCATCTAGCTGAGTCGTGTGTCTTGAGCACAACTGCGTTGGGACTTTCATGGGTTGAAGACGATCTCTACGTTTCTAAAGTATCCGCCTTAAAATCACTCAGACTCGGTCATGAGTCATGGAACATGACATCGGAAATCCTGTGCTAGGATGGCGTTGAATTCAAACCACGTTGTGTTCCCAACCACCCTCTCAAAGTCAATGCTCGTCACTGCTCGTCTTTCTGTAGTCTCTCTATACATAGTGAGTCAATGTGAGTCAAATATAGACAGCTAAAATAAACAAAATGTCATGTTCCTTTTATTAACTTTATGGGGAATGAGAGAAAAGTTCTGTCCAGATTCTTTGTTCAATAGTGTCTTCTTTCCCCTCTGCATTCCTTCTTTACTTGTTTACCTCTTATTCTACTTCTTTACTTCTTTCCTTTTGCCTTTTTCAGTCTTTCCTTCTTTCCTTCCTACCTTGGTTCCTTCCCCTTCTCCCTCCCTTCCTCCGTCCCTCCCTTCCTCCGTCCCTCCCTTCCTCCGTCCCTCCCTTCCTTCTCAACGTCTTCTCTACTCTTTCTCTTCTCTTTCTCTACTCTTTCTCTACTCTTTCTCTTCTCTTTCTCTTCTCTTTCTCTTCTCTTTCTCTTCTCTTTCTCTTCTCTTTCTCTTCTCTTTCT